ATGATGGGAACAAAAAGTGCTCGTTAGACACAAACCTTACATTCTACTGAAACTAGAGACTCGTTTAGAGATTGAGCTAAGTGTTGAAAGAGTAGCGTTAAAATTGTAGCAATAGGTTCAGACTTTAAAAGCAAAACCAATGAAGCTAGTTTACCTTTTGACAAGTGGTAGTGACCCTACGAATTAAGAAAACGGAGAGGTGGATCAAATGAATGATTCTGATTTCCTTTCCATTTTCAACTTTGAGTTAAATCAGGGTGATCCAATTTCGAATTGCCTAGGTATCGAGTTGCTCAGGGTAAAATCGTGTAGGCAAGAGTTCAAGAAGGGTCCAACTACCCAAGGTAATTGGGTTGTGGTAGTTCTTCTCTGTGGCAGGCCTACAGTAGGATTTGGCCGACGTTCTCTTTTCATGGTCAACGCAAAAGGAAAATTTCATTAATTCTTGAAATGCTTGAAATGTTTGACGTTTTCCGTATCGTTAAACAATATATGAGTTTCCAGTAATCGGATCTTTGTGTTTGCGCCAGCTTGTTTTGACGCGAAAACTCACGATTTTAGTGAGAGAACATCGGATCTTTGAGTTTGCGCCAGCTTGTTTTGATGCGAAAACACACGAATTTTGGTGAGAGATCATCGTTTTTTCGCCGCCAGTTTATAACAGATGGATTAAGGTAATGTTGATTGAAAGGAAGCGTTCGTTTTGGTGTGATTAGCCACGAAATATGTCATAAAATCTACCGATTTACTTCCTACCTTGCGTAAGGCTTATTGTGAAATTGACATCGCGCTATGGTCTCAACATGTCACACGATGACGTTTAAACTTTACTGGAACTATTTGAAATAGTAACTGCCAACGACACACAACAGAACAACAGAACTGAATGCACGGGCTGAGTACTTACCTTAAAGGCTGAGACGCGGGTCTTAGGTGCCGTGTACATTTAAAGATCGAAGATGACGCGAATACTACCGAAGATTTTTGGAAAATAAAATTACGATTCGAGGCGATTTTTAATGTTTTTGTATCAAGACTAGTACTTGCATAAAAAAAGTAAACTTCGTTTTTAACATCATGTATGGCAAATGTTGGTTAGGTGGCGTTCTCTTTGTTCGAAATCTGGGCGCCAGCGTGAAGCTCCGTTAGTACTAATCGCTTTCACAAAAGAATTTTGTTCTTTACTTGAAAGAGTGGTACTCTTTCTTTCTTCTTTGGGCCTGCCTTTTTTTCCTTTTTTTCTCCCAAGGACTTTCTTCCGCTGTTGATTTTTCCATGAGCAAAGATTTTTCCATAAACAAAGAGCTTCCACGTGTGAATTTTGGAAAGTGCGCGATGTAAACAAAATAGGGAAATAACATGAAAATCGAGCCTGAACATGAGCGGTTGCCGCGAAAATTCCCCCAGGGAACTCACCCAGGTCCGAGATAATGACACTTTCCTGATTTATTAACTTTTATTTGAAAATACGTTTTTCTACATAGCTCGGGTGCTTTTAAATATATCAGATATTTTTTCCATGAAAACATTTGATGGAATGTTTGTATTCAGTTTTGTCAAACAAAATAAAAATCGATTTTCTAGGTCTCTAAAGGTAGGAAGTAACCTTAAACTCACGATTTACAGCAAATCAAACATTCATTTGCCGTTTCACAGAAAATAATTTTACAAAATCACGCTTCACGACAAAAAGTTTCATATTTCACTGGGAAAACAAGGGCTGATCACGAGTCCCGAAAATGCCCTTTACCGCACTCACAAAACCATTTGAAATGTACATTCTTAAAACGATTGAAAAAGCGAGTAATAGCTTGAATTGTAAAAGACACAAACACAAACTTTGCGGTAGGAGCTTTCTTCCAGTTGATATGATTGTTTACTTACGCTGTAACCTAAAAGTTGTTGAACAGCCTCCTCGTGGTACTGATCAGGCTTCAATAAGTCATGACGAAGCAGCCGCCAATGAAGAATGAGTTTCTTAGCCATGTTAAAATTACCGATTATTTAGGTGGCGCTGAAAAGTTTCTCAAGTGCGTCTAAGGGAATGAAACGCCAATCCTGTGTCGCTTTCTATGCACTAACCGTGTGTACATCCATTCTACTCTACTGTTGCCGTCATACACTAATTGACAGTTGATTGTAACATCATGAACATTACATGAAAACTTCTACCATTCCGCCAAAAGCCCCCTCAAATAGTTGTTCCTCGCTATCTACCTAGGGAACCTATCCCGTACGAGGAGCATATGAGAAATGCTTTAGAGGAAACATTTAAAGCTATGTAAGTACAAATTGATAGAGTTATGCTTGGTACATTCTGCTTGATTGTCTTTTCCGTACCCTACAGTGTAGTTGGTGTTAGTGTGTATGAACTTTTGCTATGATATCGTTTTAAGGGAAGGAAGGGGGAAATTAGGCGTCCGTCCAATGATACAATGTGCTAAGCACAACCTTTTATGTGCAGAGATCCGTTGGTTGATTTTACTACTTTGACTTTGGCACTCAACTATTAGTGTAAGAAGCTAAATACAATCGGGCCGACTGCTCGTTAGTAGACCGGTTTAATGCAGGTGTTACCGGCATACTTTTGGGAATTATTCAAAGTTCACGGGCGTTACGCCTCTTTGATCATTTCAAATTTATTTCAGGGCTACTTGTGACGAGCCTGTTACAGTCTTAGGGGAGTTCAGGCGAAGGTTACAGCGAGGGCGAATGCTTGACCTTCAAAACGACTCTGAACTGTGTGAGGGAAAGACCACGGAGATATTTGTCTCTCGTTACCGACTCTTCGATGATGCTATGGAAGAGATATCGAGGGATGATCCGCCAGCGATTGATTTCAGTGTACCTTTAGAGGTGATCTTCACCGGCGAGGGCACTCAAGATTATGGTGGTCCAAGGCGGGAATTTTTGGGCATGGTGATGCGCGATATACGTGACAAGCTCTTCAAGGAAGAAAGAGAAGGCTACATCATTTTTGAGAAAAAAGAAGCACTAGACAGGAAACATTATTATGGAGCTGGCCTCTTTTTTGGTAAATATGCAAAGCCTACTGAGACACCTATGTCATTTTCACTTGAGCACACAAGAATTTCAATTTACCTTTTTATTGCAGGTTTCAGTTTGTTGCAAGGTGGTCCTTTGCCTACTTTCCTTTGCTGAAGACCAGCTTCAGCGAATCTTCAAAAAAGATGATTTGACTAATCTGGGGGAAGCAGAAACCCAATTTCGGGTAGGACTCGAGAGATTCGGACTCGTTGAGGTAAGATTTCACAGTGACCGGTTGTAACTGATGGTCTAGTCTTCACCCTTTACTTAGGCAAGAAAAACAAATTTAATTATGACTTCAGTGGAACCTTACAATACCGACTCTCGCTAAATACGGACAGTTTCTCTTCAAGCGCTTCCGACGAAAAACCCCACACATTTCTTTTACATGTGATAGGTAGTTGTTTAATCCCCTTTGGATCTCTGCAGTCTGGGAGCAGGTCTAAAAATGACTGGAGAAGAATAGGGACTGTATGTAGGATGCCCTCTCTTCCCTTTGATCCTCTCTTACTCACACAAGAGATTTGTATTCCCTTGATCTCTAACAATTTTACATATATTCCATACTTTCCGAGAAAATGAATCTTGCTTTTCTCTTAATCTGTTAGCTCCTTCATGGGAAACCGAGTCTTTCATTCCTCTTCCGAAAGACAGCAGTGCTGCCTATGACATACCCCAAACTGGTGAAACTGCTGGACCCTATTTTTTCCGACGAAGCGACCAACCAAAGGCAGCGGGAAGAGCGAACATACAGACTCTTCCTGAATTACTTGAAAGAGGTGTCAGGTAACTGTCGTTCTCTTTTCTCTAGTCTAAGAAACATCACCGCTGGCTAGACAGTTGTAACTTTGCTTTATGCCAATCGAAATTTTCCACAGAGCGTGCAAAAAAGAACTGGGATTCAGAGCTTTATGAGTGCACTACTAATTTTTGTTTTTTTCTCTTTTCAGCTGGAAGAAGGGTAGATGGCAATATATCTCTCCATAGCATTTTAAAGTTCGTCACTGGATGCGAGAACGAGCCTGTTCTGGGTTTCCAAATGAAGCCCACTATTTGTTTTGATACAAATATGCCATCTTGCCTTCCTATGGGCAACACTTGTATTAGCAGGCTGACTTTGCCGAAAGGTGAGAATGTATCAATGACCAAGGAAGAAGTGTTCTCTTTCTTTGACTACGCTTTCGCAAATGATTACTTTGGCCGTCTCTAAGTGAAACTACTGATTTCTGATTGATTCTCTTTGACAAGGTGTTTTTTAATTTATAAGTTGAATTTAGTTTCCAGCAGCATTGTTGAGGCGAAAATTCGTGTTCATTACACAAACTTTAAAAGTCTAGTTAAAAAAAGAGCGTTAGTTTGGGCTGTACACCAAAGGGTCAGTTGGTGCAACTCATACAAGCAATATTGTGTATATGTTTGTGTTTGCCCTTTAATGAATTCTGATTATGATAAAGATCTTAATAGCGTTGAAATGGGCCTGAGATGAACGAAATGAAAATACATTGAAAAGAACAAAGTTTATGTGTTAATGTTACCAAATACTCATCCAAACAAAAGTAAAGCGAAGGACGTTTATTGCGCAATTTTTAAAGCCGTTACGTTTTCACTTACTACACTGTTTAAAAGTCCCAATCGATACATTTTGGTATTAAAATGTTATCTTTTATGTTATCTGTGTGCTGTCTATTCATAGTCAGACGTTACACCCTCTCACTATTTCTGCACCAGTTCCACTCAGCTTAGGTTGGGGTTATCGCAAGCTGACATGAAATCGCAGATTACGATAGGATACATTATGAGTGATGCCAAGTGTACTCATTTTCCCGGTGTAACCGAAATAAACAAAAAACAACACATTGTCCAACGAAATAGAAAAGTAAGATGATAGGATGGGGGGAGAGATACTTTAACGTAAGTGGCGTACATTGGTGCATTATACAAAATGTTAAAACCTAGGTTTTCAGACGATTCATCGTTTCCAGTGCATGCAGATATGGTGTAATGTCCAATGAATCTTCGCCTTGAACTTCTGACATGCTTGCCTTAAAAATCGTAAACGAATCAGCATCTAACGGACACCGTGTCGGTGGGACGACAACCTCATTCTGTAGTGCATCATCTGTGCCGTCATGAAAGTAAGCCGTAGGATCCACACCGTATCCCTCCAAGTCCCTCTGAAATATAGTTGAAAGGAGATTCAAATACCGCAAAGCATTGGTTATGACTGCCTTAAATTAACTTTGCAAGCAAGGAATCTTGGCATCGTTTCGATCGTCATCTATATTTAAATTGAAGGGGTGGTTAATTAAAACTCAATATTTAGTAGAGGCCACTTGAGATGGTTCACCCGTGTGGCTTTAATGCTTGGGGAACTGTGTCTGTCATATGCATTATTGCGTTTACCTGACTAAGGTTTTGAAAGTATTCTGATGCCACAATACCACTTTCTTCCGCAATTTCTTGCATCCCTAGTATGAACAGTTGTAAAGGACTTTTGTTTCCTGCAGTACGTATTTTGTGATTATTCCAGGATAGCACAAATTTTGAAAGGGCCTCGTTGATTATTGGGAGATAAGTGAAGTGAAGGCAAAATAGATGCCCTTCGTTGTCCGGATCGAGCTGACCGCCTGCTTCGAGAGAAAGGAAAAGGTCGTAAAATGAGGATAGGACTAACTGGTACACATCGCGCCAGAGTCTTTCTATACGCGAGTTGTGCACGCTTCGTCCGGTGATGTAACTCCCTCTTCCGGGCCCTCTTGCTGTATGGTTCAACATGTAGTGTGCCACGTCTCTGTTTTCAACTCCCATGTCGCCCCTGACTCGTGATGGCAATCCCCATTCAGACACCGCACCCTCAAAGAGACGCAAGACTGTGACAGACGTGTTATTCGTATCGCACTTAAGATAAACGACGGAGCGACTGTAACCGTCAATACAGCCGTGAACCACGAATCGCCATCTAAAAAGAGAAGGAATAGAGTGGTAAACCGAAAGTATATGAAGGGGGGAGGGGGGGGGAGGAGGTTACTCCTAAAACAAATGGTACAAAGTTATTGAGACCTGAATTATAACAACAATTATGTCATCAAAATAGTGAGATAAGTGACAGCTACCGTATCAGTTTGTGATTCCCGTCCATATGCCAGAGGGCCAGAGGGGAACGTACGTTATACACTCGTCTACGGATGGCATTCATAGACCTTAGCCTCCTGCCCATGGGATCGACTCTCTTTATGGCACTCCTTAGTCTCCACCTCTGCACATGTACACCTTGCGAAACAAGGTAACCCTCGATTGTTTTGCAACCTGTCAACAAAAATAAGGGTTTTAATTTCAAGCACCCTGTGACACAGTAGTGAAGCTAATGCCACTTGTCGTGCTTTCTTGAATTCTCTGTTTAGAGGATATAAAGTGTGTTTCCAATATGCAAAATTTTGTGTTGACACTACGGCAGGCTTAAAAGCTCTTGCCTGTAACTTGATTACGTTTTGAATCAACATACTGGAAGAGAACAGCGTACGGGATTTTCAGAAACGGTCTCGAGTGTACGTCTATACTAAAAGAAGCATGTTTGCGTTTGCTAAGTGTGATAATGTCTACGTTTCTTGAGGTGTTCAAGCAATAACGCGTATCGGCCGAAAAGGTTTAATTAACTTATGCAATCTGAAAGAAATAAAGGCAAACGAGAAAATTTCCCAATTCAGATGTTTATCATGTCTAGTTCCAGAGGAATAAATTGTTGCGTCATTATGTACTGGTTCTCAAACTGTTCTTTACCAAGCTAAGGGCAAAAAAATCTTTATTTTTTGACTGAACATGACCGGCCACAACCTCAAAATTTCTATGAAGACTTACTTACCCGATCTAGGGAAATTTGTCATGATACGCTGGATTAAAGAATCCAGGAAATCGTCCTCTATGTCACTGTAGCGGGACTTGTTCGTCAACTCGTACTCGGCCATACGGTTTTCAATAGTTCGCTTGCTAACCCCAAGCATTAGAGCCATGTCTTTATACGTGAAGTTGTTCTCTAACAAAAAGATAACTAGTGTTCATAAAAGAAAACACAGTCCTTTGAGAGTAGATAGTTTACACTGAAAATTGAATGAAACCTTCAAAAGGTGAACTCACTAAAGATGTTATGAATAACCAAAAAACGTGGTTTGGCGAAACCTATCAACTCGAAAAAAAAGCATTCACTTCATATGGGGCATATATGGATAGTTTCAAATGTGTCTACCTTATTTTCATTTCAAATTTTCCACCTGAAAATGGGAAAAGCACTTTTTCCTCCTTACCTCTGAAAAATAGCAGCTGCTTTTCGGAAATCGCAAACTTAGGTCTTCCTCGGCGACCTGCCTCACTCACTGCTGGTGCTTCATACCCACGAAAAGGCTCTTGTTGATGCAAGTTTACGTTCAGGTGCGTACGAGCTTGATTGATTAAGTTAACCGCATCTAAAGGAATGTCCCCATTGATCAACGCTGCCTCGTAAAGAACCTCCAGTCTTAAAACAGTATTCTCTAAATCACCTCCACGATTTCCGCATTCTTGTATATATTCAGTTATTTCATTTAGGGAATCTGATAAATGCTGACGAAAGTCCATGACTCTTAACAGTACTGAAGGACAACAAACAACGATACCTGTGAAGAAAAAAATTCTTAAGATGGAGACGGGTCACTTATAAAGCAAGCACTAATTTTTTTTTCTTCTTTGCTTTTTCATCATCTGGAAGTTTTCTTTGCTTAGCCCTAAAGGCAAGAAGAGAAACGTTACAAGTCACGCAACTCTAGTCAATATATCTAGTGTGTATTGAACTCAGTCTGTAGCAATAATAATAATAAAAATAGTAATAATAATAATCACAAAAATTAATAGTTGAGGTACAGAAATGTAAAAATAAATAAAAATATAAATAAATACGTCTACCGAAACAAACGACGAAACAGCAAGATGTCCTGTCAATTGTCTGAATTATGCAATAGTTTTTATTCAGCAAGTTGCGACTGTAACAGATCGAACGGTAAAACTCGACCTAGAGTTGTACAATTACGTACAACTACGTGCATTACGGTGTCCGCACTAGCCTTCCTTAATACCTGATGACTACGGAATGGGAAAGAGCACAGGGAAGGTAAGTATGTATGCGCGCAAAACCAACTCAGAAAAAATATTACTCTGGCAAACACTATTTTTGGAACGCGAAAAGAAATCCTTTAACTGTTTCCGGTCCAGACATGTAATCTACGTTTGATCGACAAAATAAAAATGGAACTTACTTTTACTATCACTGCACCCAGGAAAAAAATTAATAAACAAAGCAATATAATGTACACCTCTTTAAAATAATAAATATAAACAGTCTTCTCTTAGCTTACTCTTATCGTCCGGCACACCAATTAAAACATTCCGATATCACTTTGATCGAAAAATGTCAAAACAGATCAAGGATATCAGTTTTCTTACCATGGCGTCCAGGGCACACACAATATTCAACTTCTCATGTACTCCTCCAGTGTTCAAAGAGCCGTTGAAGTTGGACTCTCATTGAAAAGTAAGCGTGAGTCACAGAAAGAAAAGGGAGTTCGACAATTGACATTTAATGCAAGTCATAACACTACTTAATACTATAAACATATTCAGCCCACCAACGCGTGCAAACTGTGGTAAACCGGAGGGCCGGTAAACCGTGGTAGAATTCAGTCTCGTTGCTATTTTAATTGACGCTTTCATGAACGACAACGAATAAGTGCAATATCAGCAGTGAAAAAAAGAGGAGAAACTTACCGAATCGGCTCTGCTTTACGGCAAAGCGAAGTGAAGACTATTCCATACAGCGACTACGCCATGTAATGGTTTCGTGTCAGTCTTCACATTCGATGACGTCATGCCCCCAGCAGATCGCTGTTCCATTTGCGGTTTGTATTTTTGGTGGTTTCGGCGAGATGCCTTGGCGGCCGTCACCACCAAAAATACGAGGATGTCGTATAGATCAGCAAATACAAAGATGGCTTAAGGATCAGCTGCAGGATAGCATAGCTAATAAAGGAATGGCATGGCCTTCACGTCACGCCACGACGATTCGCCACAACATCGAAATATTTCAAGTAATACTAAGCAATTTAATGTTCAGATAGAGCGTCTGATGTTTTGCAAAGCTATTCGACCTAACGCTACACTATTTGTGTCTACGCTGTACCATTCTACATTACGCTGAGCCATTTCACGCAACTCTACACCATTTGTGTGGGGAGTTACTACATCACGGGCGACGAGCGGGGATAGAAAAAACGACCCAAATATGAGCGGTCAGCGGTGAAACAGCTTTTATACCTCATATAGTGACATATAATTTGTTGTTCCAGAGACAATCGTGTTGTAAAGCCGAAATGTTAACAATTTGCTTCATAGTTTAAGCAATTTTTCAAAAGTGTTGATTGAACTCATATCTTTTACTGCTTTAATAAACAATGGAGGCTTCGGAGAGGGAGTCAGTGGCATTTGGAAAGGCACCAAGAATAATTATATATATGGTTTGTAGCTAGCTGCGTGACGTGCGTGACGTGCGTGACGAAAAAAAAGTATCATGATTTCCGGTTGTCAAAAATGTCAATCAAATTTGGCAGGAACTTGGTTTTCACACTGTAGTTTGCTTTTCCTGGAAGATTTTGCCATGGATGAAGACCAAAAGCCAACAATGTTAAGAGATTTAGAGATCGACTTTTTGAAAGAACATCTCAATGGCTTTTCTGTTGAAGGCAATTATTGTTTTGGATATTTCGAGGGAAACAGAGCAGAGATGGATGATCTGTTAGTTTCATTTCAGGCATTGAACTCCACGTGTTATGTACTTACAGAAAGCCATTCAAAAGAGAAAAACCACAACAGATTTTCTCAAACAGGTATATAATCTCTCAGTGTTTTAAAGTGCACAGATCCCGGTTTCCTATCCTGACTCTCCTAATTCAGGGATAATTTAATTGAGAAGAATCGCCGTCTTTCAGAGTTTATGGTAAATTTCTTCAAAGGCAGTCTTACGCGATTTGCGAGAAGCTGCGTCTGAACTACCTATTTATATTTCATTTTAGTTTCTTTGTGTTTGTTGTTATTGCTGTTGTTATTTTTTTTTTATTCATTTATCTCTACCTAAAAGGTCTATTTGGTTTAAAAACAGCGAACAGTGGCTTTGGTGCAAAGGTTTGGGTCAAAGGTCTGGCTCTTATTGACACCTTTACACGTAAACCGGAAATAAGGCATGTTGCTTAACAACTCTATCTGATTTCATTTGACAGCACCTCCCGTATTTGAAAACAACCGCGGAAATGTCCCCATACAGTTGTTTGGCCACCCCTTTTCAATCTCTAGCAGAGAAACTCGACATTGTATACATGGATCCAGAAAGGTTGGTTACAATTACAGTAAATGGATTAGCAAACATTCAAATTTTAAGTAAAAAAAAGAGGTCAATCGAGAAATGATAAAGGAAACTGAGAGTCAAGAGGTTGAATTTAAGCTTATTCAAATGGACTGATTAATTTTCTTTTTACGAGGATCAAAATGTTACAGGAGTTTTAAGTTATATGTTTCATAACCAATTTACCCAAAGAAATATGAGGGGGAAGGGTGTTGGCAATAGTAGTGAAGTCAGTAAAAATCACAGATGATATCGCAGCTGGGAGAAGAATGTAATTTCATTTTGCTCTCGTAGAACACACCTGTATTAAAATCTTCTGTACCAATTAGGATGCCCGAGGAAGTTATACCTGCAAGAGTGACTACGCTAATGTACACGACTATGCAAGAAAAACTAGAATACACTTGCAGAATTCGAGAAAATTGGATTACCCGGCAGTCATGCAGATTCGATGTATTCGGGTGTACAACGATTACTTCATCAACAAAGCAAAGTTCCTATCAGATAATAGCTTGGTGATGGCTAAGAAGGCTATTCTAAAAGAAATCAATACCAAATCGAAGAGTGGCTTAGCAACTTCTTTTACCGTACCAGAGACGCTGTCATTAACGAAAAAGATGAACCAAGACCTAAACCTTCCTCTTTGTACATCAAGAGCCATGGCAACAACGAATGCTTGAAAGATATGGTAGTGAACTGGCCCTGATGGACGCCACGTACAAAACGACAAGGTACGCAATTCCACTTTTTTTCGTTTGTGTACATACCAACGTGGGATACAAGGTTGTGGCTGAATTCATATGTCAGTCCGAAGATCTCTTTGACGTCCCATATCTTTTGTTCAATTATAGGAGAAATACCGCGGTCTGTTAGATTTGCAAAGACGACGATGGAGAGGATTGGCTTGGGTGCGATAGCTGTGGCCAGGTTTTCCATGCAAGTTGTCTGGATGTGCCTTTCGCGGAGACGCTTACGCAACATTTCACCTGCCCTTAGGGTGGCTTCTTGTCGGTACAAGTAGAGTTTAAATTTTAAAGCTGACTATAACAATGAACCAGATGATGAACTTAATGTCATGTACAGACCTTAATTTGCAAGATAAGAAATACAGTCCTTGGTAGTCAATTAAGATAGATTTTCACGAGCGTCAATGGTGCAGAATCGTAACTTGATGGAGCCAACAGTGGACAACATCCCAGAATTCAAACTTTGTGATTTTTTTCTCGGCTTAAACGCTAAGTCAGTTGTTCAATTGAATAGGAAGAAAAACATTTCGAACGGAAAACAGAACTATTTGCACGTGTGGATCTTTTGAGAAAAGGTCTCCTAAACGAGCGGTCTTGATTATAAATATTTAAGGAATGGTAAATACATTAGCCTTAACATGGCTGTTTCTCGAAGCTCAGTGTTTTCCTACTTGCCTTTTTTCCACGTGAATTGGGGGCGATTGAATAGATATAATATGCAGTAAAAGAAGTTCAGCTGATAGAAATTTTAAATTTCTCATCTTAGGCTGTGGATACAAAATTCAAGTGAAAAGGAAGCCAACTGTGATTTAAGTGCTTTGAACAAGTCAAGATACGTTTTTTTCGTCACACAACAAGTTACTTAACGTTAATATCATTCTTCTTGATGCCTTTCCCGGTGTCACCAATGCCTTTCCCGATGCCTCCGTTGGTTAATAGAGCATTAAAAGTATTGTTCCAGTTAAAGCTTGAGGAAAATTGCTTAAATTTTTAAGTAGCGAAGTGTAACTTGATAACATTTCGGCTTTACAACACGATTGTTTTCTGCAACTACAAAACGTACATTTAATTCTTCTTGGTACCTTTCGGATGCCACCGATGCCTTCATTGTTTATTAAAGCAGTAAAAAAAAAGATATATGTACAATCAACACTTTTGAATTGCTTAACATTTTATTTAGCGAAGTAAACTGTTTACACTTCGGCTTTACAACACGATTGTTTCCTGATACCACAAATGATCTGTCTATATATGAAGTATTAAGGTTGTTTCACCACTGACCACTCGTATTTGGGTCGTTTTTTCTATCCCCGCTCGTCGCCCGTGATGTATAACTCCCATTTGTGTGTACGCTGTACCGTTCGACATTATGCTAAGCCACTTCACGCAACGCCACACTGTTTGTATGTACGCTGCACCATTCGACATTACGCTAAGCCATTTCACGCAACGCTACACTGTTTGTATGTACGCTGTACCATTCGACATTACTCTGAGCCATTTCACACAACGTTACACTGTTTTTATGTACGCTGTACCATTCGACATTACGCTGAGCCATTTCTCGCAGCGCTACACCATATGTGTGTACGCTGTACCATTCTACATTATGCTGAGCCATTTGACGCAACGCTACATCATTTGTGCGTAGGCTGTGCTACTCGACGTTTCCCTGAGCCGTTTAACGCAACGCTACACAATTTGAGTACTGTATTGCAAATGAGTGCCAAGCTATTCGTAATTAAGCTAGTCCATTTCACAATCTCATGTTCCACCTCAACATGGGCTACTAGACCGTTTCTCATTTGGCTAAACTATTCATGTTTATGGTGTTCTGTTTCACTAAGGAAAACTAGACTGTCTATAATTTAGCCATGCCATTCCTTTACTAACTATACTATCCTGCAACTGATCCTTAAGCCATCTTTGTATTTGCTGATCTATTTGACATCCTTGTATTTTTGGTGGTGACGGCCGCCTAATGGTGCTCGTAATAATTAATTGTCGAAAGCTCTGAAATGGTTGAAATGGGTGGAACATACACTTCGAGAAGAAGAATGCAACAGTGGTTTACCCACCAGAAGGGAAGATCGCGTGACGCATGCAGGGAATTGCGGGGAACACACGATCATGACACCCACGCGTGTCATGATCGTGTGTTCTTGGCTGTGTATGGCATGGTTGTCCTTGCTGTCATCTAAACCACAGATTAGTTCCTAAAGTGCATCTAGACATTTCCATGGAAGAAGTGAATGACGTGACCTGTGCCAAAACCACTTTGTTACACTCGATGGGTTTCACCGAGGTGAAAATGTGGGAATGTTTTTGGGATGACCTCTCCAAACACGACCCGCGATTGATACAGTTTCTTCACACCTTGGAAATTGTAGAGCCCCAAGAGCTGCGTCATACATTTTACGGTGGAAGGACCGGCGCTACATGTTTGTACCACAAGACCAATGAAGCCTAAGGAGAAAAAGTACATTACATCGATGTCACTTCTGAATATCCGTGGGTGAACAAATACAGAACTTATCCCGTGGGACGCCCACAGATTTTAACAAGTCCTCAGATCGCTGATCTATCAGATTATTATGGCATCGCCAAAGTGGATATTGTACCACCAGAAGAATTGTTCAATCCTGTCTTACCCCATCGAAGTGGAGGAAAATTGACTTTTCCGTTATGCTGTACCTGTGTGGAACAACAACAAGCAAAACCGATGCTCGACCGCCGATGGACCTGTACTCACACCCATCAAGAACGCCTCATCCGCAGTACGTGGTGTACACCTGAAATCAGTAGAGCCGTTTAAAAAGGGTACAGAATTGTGAAAATTCATGAAATCTGGCATTTTCCCAAAGACCAACGTGTCGAAGGATTGTTTGCCGGGTATGTGGATACATGGCTGAAAATGAAACAAGAATCAAGCAGGCGGCCATCTCATTTACGCACCCTAGAAGTATTGCAGAATTACATTAACCACTATGAAGCGCATGAAGGTATCCAAATGGAACCAGGAAAAATTGTGAAGAATGCAGCCAAACGTTCATTAGCCAAACTCATGATGAACTCATTCTGGGGTAAATTTGGAGAATACCTCAATAAACATGCGGTGGAATCAGTCACAGCGCCTCACGAATTGTTTGAATATTTAAATAATTCATTGGTGGTCATTCATGCGATTCGCATCTTTTCAGAAGATGTCTTAGAAGTGGTGTTTAGCTACGTAGACGAAGACGCTTCGAAAGGTAAGTAAACCAATATTTTTATCGCCGCCTTTACGACCATTCAAGCCCGCTTGCAATTATACCGTTATCTAGATCCCTTACGAGATTAAGTCCTCTACTACGACGCAGATTTTGTCATCTTCTCATATAAACCCGGCAAAACCACGATCACATTAGGCGATTATCCTGATGATATAACCAGTGAATTGAACGAGGATGATTACATAACTGAGTTTGTATCGGGTAGTGCCAAAAATTACGGATATCTCACCAAACAAGGCAAGTCTTGCTGTAAAGTACATCGATTTACTCTGAATTATCGTGGAAGTTGGTACCTGAGTTACGAAGTTATGAAACAAAACGTCTTGGAGGAAATTACATATCCTTTGGATGAAGAGTGAAGAACCGTACCCGTGACCAACCCTTATTTCTTTGCTCAGGAAACCAAAACAAAGAAAATTAAGACTGTCAAACATATCAAACAGTACGATTTAGTGTTTGACAAATGCGTGATTGACAAAGACACTTTTATGTCTTATCCGTACGGATATAAAAGGTTGTAAGTTTAGTGACGTCCATTAGTAAACCATAAGAACCCGGAGAAAGAGAAAGACAAGGAAACTGCAAAGAGGAGGTGCGGCGACGAGTATTGTCAAAAAAATATTACAGTGGGGTCCCACCACAACAGACAAAATTGCCAAAGGTTTAAGCATGTTCTTATTGTGTCCATCTCCATCGTTCGGTGCCTTAGGTAGACTTTTAGCCAAACAAGTGTTTAAAGGTGTAGAAGACAATGTCATACATTATCGAAAGAGAAAAAACACATGGACACGCTATTTGTAATCAATAACAGTTTTTATTAATTAATAAACAAGTTTTTTTTATTACAATTTCAACTGTTTCTTACTGTTTATAATGTAAGGCGCCAGGTGGTCCATCATTGATTTCTTACCAGGAAGATTTTTAATAGAGGCTACCATTTTATCGTAGGCTTTCCACTTATCCTCTAGACTCTTGGCTTTAGAGTAATCAATGTCGTGCTGTCTGGCAATGCGATCCAAACGATTGATGCCCTGATCCCCTCGATCCAAGCGTTTTTTCAAAAATGTGCCTGATCCAAAGAATTGATAACGTTTCTCCTTAGATGAAGAATAAGGATGAAATTACACTCCTAATTTTCCAATCCAGTTTTGAATGTCAAATTTGCCTCCTCTCTGCCTTTTTTTGGTGGAGCCTTTCTTTTGGTTCTTGTTTTCTTAGAATTCCTCATAGTCTTTTTCCAGTTGTCTTCTCAAGGGTTTCGTAAAGTGGCCTCTTCGCCTTCTTTTAACCAATCCAATTCTGTCTTGCATTTGACTTTGGTGGGTTGTTTACCCTTTTTTATACTCTTAAAGAAGGTTTCTAATTGCTATCGATAATCATCCATTAGAGATCGAAAGTTGTGAGTTAGACTCGTTTCAGTTTCTTCATGCACGCTGGTATTTTAGGGGTCCCAGGAGTGGGAATTTCCTTCTTGGGTGTCTTGGGAGGGACGCAATGTCATCTTGCAGTTTCTTCTTCTGTTTCTTTGCCTTGCGTTTGAGTAAATTTTCCACAATTTTTTCTGTCGTGGCACTTTCTTCAGACTCTACATCTGCCAAATCGGCCGTGGGTACACCTGGAATATCTCTTAAGCGTTTCGTCAATCATCTACGTTCTTGTAACAATCCTCTAGTCTGTTGATTTGCTATAGCATCCGGCACCTTTGGATTGTTTACAATAATATGCTCTTTGGCAGCAACACGACCTTCTTTGTTTAGTAAGGCACTGTCCGTAATTTGTCCTTTGTAATATTGAACGAGTTGTTGAAATTCTTCGGGCTTCACCATGAGGTATTCTTCAGCCATCTACGACGTCGCATGGTTCTTGGTTCGTTTCAGTATACCTCTCCTTCTTATCCAAGTGTGTACTGAAAATTATACTTTCCTAACACAAAGTGTAAGGTTAATTGTACAAGTAATTTAACATACCTACAAAGAAGCTCTGAACTGGACATATATGGTATGATGTAATATTTCATACCCAAAGAAGTTACTTATGACAATGTATTTGACAAATTGCATTGTATGACGTGTCAATATAGGGTGGTATAATGAGGCAGTATACACTAAGTATATGGAACGATATATTGATGTATAACGCTTTAGATGGTTAAGGATATACTTGACATACTTGTCCTTATCCTTGCGTGTAATGAAAATTATACTTGACCATACACAACGTGAAAGGTTTGTTGTACAAGTAATTTCACGAATTTAGGAAGCTCTCAACACGATACATTTGGTATGACATAAGATCTTAAAACCCATAGACATTACTTTGGGCAGTATATATTTCAAACTGGCCATAATCTCCACCATTGTTTTTTCTTCTGTGTGTGTGTTGGTTAAACATTCCAGTAATTCATGCAAATTATGGCTGTTTGGTCACTTGGTTCATTCTGTCCACTTCATTTATTTCAGCCATTTGGATTATCTTTGTTGGTTAGGTCATTGGTCTATTTAGACCATTTAGGTACTTTGTATCGGCTGGGCTATTTGTGCTATTCATGCTGGTTGGAATATTTGAGCCAAATAGGTCATTTGTTACTTTAAATAGGTCATTTGGACTACTGGATGCTAATTTACATCACTTGACTCCCTTTTACCTGTTTGATCATTTGTGCCAAATGGCTCCATTATGTTGATTGGGTCATTTGCTCCAGTTTATCTCTTGAGCAGATGTATCATTTACGTCTGCCAGAGTTTGAGGCAATTTAGAAGTGGTATAATTAAACTATTTGAGAATATCCAAGATTGCATGGCTATTGACAGTTAGGTATTTTTATGATTGCCTCATTTGTCTGATCACATGTACCAGACGACAAATATGAGTAAATACCTTGCGATAACCAAAAAAATGCATTATTGTCCTTAATACCTGGACATGCATCTAACAATAAACAACCAATGACAATGAGTTAATACAAATTGTTGGGCTATGACCAAAGCCAGTCAGATGTATTCATACTTCTTTCATTAAACAACCTCGATGGACCCCTTAAATTTAAGGACCTATAACCTGAATATGTGCAATTAGACACTGGACGATGGAAGGCGTATCCTACACTCGCTGACTTGTCAGACCTACAAAGTGAAAACTTAAGATTTCAACCCTTTGAGCCCAATAGTCTACACCTACTGATTATAGACTGATATTTTGAAGAGAAAGTCGAAGCTAATCACTCATTGGGCTTCAATTATACTGAAACAGTCAATCATCGAGGAAAAAGGTCTTACCCTATATGTACGTGCAAAGTTTAAGACCAGGGTATCAAATGAGAAGTTCCCAAAAATAGAAAAGAATATCTTTA